CTGAAGTAAGATGGAGACAAAACTGAAGTTATTGCTTGTGTTTCTTGGGAAGTAGGAAGTAAGAGGGATACATTGAAGTCTGTGACCATGATGTCACCACTCACATTAGTAATCATGAATGCCTGTCATAGAGGGTATGTATGGAAGTGACAAGGATACGCTAGTTTGGTAATATATTGGAGATCAAGGAGAACTTATTCTCTGAACAAGAGCTAAATTAGTCTTACCAGAGCTTTAATTTTCACCCATGAGTTCATGCTTGTGCTGGATTTAGCCTCAGGGGCTGGGCATTCAAAGAAGATTAAGCCAGAGTACACCCTAGAGTAATGTATGGGAAGTCGCATACACAGAGATGCACTGTAAGAGAGTAGTGGAATCTATTCTCTTCAGTGCGACTTGGGGAAGAGTGATTATCCTCACTGGGAGAAGCAATAGACTCAACAGAACATCAGCTTGTGATTTGTCTTAGTTACTTTGTCATTGTTGAGACACAATGCCTGACACCCACAACTCTAAGGAGGAAAGGTTTATTTTGGCTCATAATTTGTAGAGGTTTAAGTCCACAGTCTTGACTGGTTCCAAAGCAGGATGGAATGGCAGAGGAGAAAGAGCTCATGGCATGGTGCTGGGAGGCAGGGAGCAATCGAGGGAGGACAGAGGGAGATAGATCCTTCCAGGCCACAGCCCTACTGACTCACCCCCTCCAACTAGCCTTCACCTCCCAACATCATATTTAGCTAATCCACTGATGAGTATTATGCCCCATGATCCAATCACCTCCCAAAACCTCACCTATGCACTCACAAGGCTTTGGAGGGACATCTAGATATAAACTGTAACATGACTTCACCTCTCAAAATGGCAGCACATTATAGGTTTTTCAGAATTATTTTCATCTTGTAACTCTGCCATGTTGCTTTTCCTTTGAGCTATTCTCTTCTTCCTAAGAAATAATAGTAACAGTAAAGACCCCTGAAACACTTCAAAGAGGCTTTTCCCTCTGTGAGGATATGGACAAGAGCTGAGGGGAGAAGCTGCTTCCTGTATGTTAATGGATTTGGGAGCAAAGAAGTGAAGGGGGCAGACAATTCCTGGGGTGCAGGCAGGGGGAAGGAGTCAGGAGAAGAAGACTGGCCTGAGCCCTGGCTGTTTCCTAAGGTATCTTCTTCCCTCTCAGCCTGGTTCTCTTCTGACATGCTTCTTCTCATCATTCCTGGGAAAACCCATCATTTCTCTAGGAGCTCTGCTTGTGGCTTCAGAAAGCATCTGCTTAGAAGTTGGCTATAAATGCTCAAATGACCCCTTCCAGGGAAACAGCCACTTTTGAAAGGAGAGTGAGGAAGAACAGACATCTTCTAGACTAAGGGATTGTCTCTTCAGTGACTAATGGCAGGGCTGGGCATAGGCCACTGGGGTGAGATGCTACCTCCTAACACTGAGTAAGTCACCCTACATATGTATCTATGTATGCTATCTTCTAAGAGACTGACTTTTCAGGCTACAGAAGCTTCGTAGCTAGGAAACTGACTACTGACTGGAGGAAGCATCTTTGTATGAGAATTCAGATCCATATTTTTGGGAGAGTGAGGGAAGTGCTATTCTTAGGGAATTATGGTTCAATCTGGTTTCCAGGGATGCATCCACCTGAAGTGGGCTTTAATCATCACTTCAGAGTTCACAGAGCTGGGTCTGATGAATTTTAAGGCCCTGCCAAAAAAAATGAGCAAGTTTCTTTGAATTCAAGTTCTTATTCTTCATGAGTTTAAATGACTATACTGGCTTTCCTTTAAAGAAAGGAAAGCCAGTTTTCTTTCTTCTTTTTAAAATATCACTTCTTTAGAGTCCAGGTTCTTAAGGCATATTTATTTTTTATTTTGGATTTTTCCTGTTTTTAAAATATGTCCAATTAAAATGCAGCAAATGAGAGACAACCTCCTAAATATTTCAGTGATTCTATAATAGCAACGGCACATCTTTGTTTTACTAGTATCAGCTCATTCATCTCAGCCAAAATATAGAAAGTTGTCTTAAACACTTGAGCTTCATGGTGGGTGGTAGGAAGTGACATCAGATTCCATACTGGAGCTCATTTAAGTAAACAGAAGTTTACTATTATAAGAAATAGAATTGAACATTCTTAAGTATCTCTTCTTATTTCACTTCTAAGTTACATTTCCAGTTAGTTGTACTTCCTATAGCTTTCATTTCATAATAAAATTCCAAAAGCTAGCAGAAGGACAGTATGAGTGCCAGTAGAACTACAAATACACATTTGTTATGACAAGGGAGAGAAAGCAAAGATATCTTCAGTCTAGGGGCTTCATATAGCAGTGAGATTACTGAAATATGTATCTAAAGACTTCCTATCTGTAGGAACAGTAGATAACAAACAAATATTTATTTTTGAACATTTGTGTGAATTTCTCCTTACCTTGGGATAGTCCTTAAACTCAGCATTCATCAGTCTTGAAATGATTCAGCTATATTATTAGTAGCTATTTAAGGAACATTTATGGTTTTAGTTTTTGAAATGATCTAACCAATATTTCTAAACAAAAGCAAAACATCTCACAATGTTAGTTTGAATTCCGTCTATTTCACAAAACTCTCCCTTCTTAATTAATCTGTCCCTGTTTCTGTATTTATGTTGATTCTTTGAGTCTTTCAGCCATATCCCAGGACTTGGTGGGAAATTATACTTTTCATTTGTTGCACTTGTTATAATTTGGATCTTAAATGTCCCCCAAAGCTATAGGCTTGGTCCTCAGCCTGTGGTGCTACTGGGAAGTGGTGGGACATTTAGGAGGGCCACCTTCTAGTGGAAGGAAGTTAGGTCATTGAGGGTACCCTTGAAGGGGATGCTCTGCCCTGCAGCTTTCCAGCCACCACGAGGGAGGGTGAACAGATCTTCTCTGCTATGTGTCCACCATGACATATTAGATCACTACAGTACCAAAAGTCATGTACCAAGATACCACGGATCAAAACCTCTGAAACCATGAGTCAAAGGGGCCTCTTTATAAATTATCTCAGGTATTTTCTCACAGTGATAGAGAGTTGACTAACACACACTTATAACAAATAAATCCCACACAACTTTTAGTGACAAGTTTAAAAGCTGCTGTACTCTTGTCAAGGGGCCAGAACAAAAATGTCACAGAAATTCCATGGCTGGATCCATTCAGCCGCTTGTCATGTGGGACTGCAGCCCTCTTTACCTGCTCTACCACCCGTTACCATAGTGACTAGGCCAGAGAAGAGCATATTATTCTGAAGTCTGCACAGATAAAGCAAATAATCTATCAAGCTGGACTGTTCATTTTAAACTTGTTTACTTCAACTTGAGAATTTCTTGCAGTATAAACACTGAGGAGACAATAATGTGTGCTGGTAAACCCAAGCAGGGTCAATTCTGTTACTACTCTAGGTTGCAAAGTGACAGGTGGTGACATTGGTGAGCAGCACAATGGTGTTAGCCTGGCTGGAAGATCTCCATTGTGGGGTAAATGCTCTTAAACATTGGCCAGAAAAGGAGACCAAGCAAAATCTTCAGAGAGTTGGGCAGGGGACTTAGCTCAGTGGTGCTGCTGCCTGCCCTGAAAGCACAAGGACCTGAGTTCGATCCCTGTTACCAAAAAAAAAAAAAGAAAAAAAGAAAACAAAAACAAAAACACTCTGGTCTCAGCACAAGAATATCTGAGGCATGGTTTAAAAATCTTCAGAGAGTCTTAAGACGTGATCGCTGGAGAGTCAGGCTAGCAATTTTCTTTTTTAATATTCAAAACAAGTGGTGAAAGTGGAGGGGAGATGCTATGTCCATACTAGAGGCTATGGGCAAAAGCCTTTTGAAATTTTACAGTGATAGTGTGATTCAGGGAAATTTTCATGTTTCATGATGCTGACATATACCTTGGAAAAGAAGCTTAGCTGAGACACCTAACTCCCCACTCACCCCCTACCACGCTGCAATGGCCTGGATACAAGTGACAGTCTCTTTGTGCTTCTGTTCTTTCATCTGCAAAATGAGAGATTTCAATGAACTGTCTTTAAAATGCCAGCCAACTCTGAAATTCTCTGATTCCAGGAGGGAAATTATGATAGTAAGGCTGAGTTTAACTGTGGTCTGCGGACAGCATCTCATTGTTTTACAGTACACATAATTGACCAGTCCATTTAACACAAGTCATCGTTCCTTAGACTAAGCCAGTCAAGAAACCCTTTTCAATTTCTTCCCTGTCTGCTCTAGGATTTTGTTATGACACCTCAGAAACACCATCTTAGATAATTTGCCAAAAAGAGAGTTAAAAACCTCCTCCCCGCTTCACGTTTTATTAAGTTGCTCCATGGCTGGGCTCTCCTGACATACTCTCGAGCGACCAGAGCTGCTACGTGTGGGATGAGTTAAATAAAGGTCAGCTCATAAAACACCACTGTCCTCACATTCCTACAGCACTGTTTTACTAGTAGTCTTTCCCACAGCCCTTAAAATTCATGTCAGTCACAGGAAGACCTTATTGATGTAAGCATCTGATGAACAAAAAGGAGATTACTCTAGAAAAGTATTTGGAGAAATGACCAAGCTGAGTGCAGAAGGTTAGCAAAACCAAACATGTAGTCACTGGCAGTCAGAGGGGGCTTACGGATCAAAGGCTGCAAGCAGGAAGTTAAGCAGGAGGCTGATGGACTGCTCCACGTGGATTTGGTGAGTGGTTGGCATCCGTTTATTGAGCTGGTAAAAAATGGTGGAGAGCACAGCCTCTAAGCGGGCCACATTAAGCTCTATGTTTGGGTCCAAGTTGTTCAAAGCATTTTCTCGCAGTGCTTCTATGACATTCCAAATGTCCACCAGGTGCACTACAATGAAAGCAGAGTTAAAACATCAGTTCAAAGTGAATGGAAAGCCAGATATATTTCTTCACCTGCCCATCCACTCTGGTTTATCTGGGCTCCTCCCATGGGTTCGGCTGTTGCAGGAGTTGATGTAAATAAATGTGTATGTAAGACAGTGCATGATCTCGAAGACTTGATGTATAATATACAGTGCCACACAAATGGTTGACTCAGTACCACAGCAGAGTTATTTCTAATCTTCACAGTAAACCCTGAAAATACAGCTGTTATACCTATGTTACATGTAAGAAAGCTGAAGAACTGGGAAGTTAACTGACAATACAGAGGCCAGTCAAGGGCAAAATTGATATTTAAGTCCAAGTTTATCTAGTTTAAAATATTTCTCCACTGTGCACACTGGGCCCTCCAAAAGAAAACAGGACCAGAACTTAAATTTTAGTGTCTGAAAGTTTATCAAAAATGAGTATTTAAAATATGCTCATTTATTTATATATTTCTCAGCAGTGTGCAGTTTGAAGTAAGCAAAAAGGAAAGTTAAAGAAGACAAAGGAAAATGGACAAGCAGTTAATGCCCTGCAGCAGCAGAACTAAGTAATAGATCACTTACTGCCCTAAAAACAAGCAACTTCTTGGCTGTGTAATTGCGCTGGTTAGTTCTGATTGTCGACTTGACTGGAGGAAGAGTCTCTTGAGGAGGTGATTAGATTGTAGGGCACTAAACTCAGCAGTGAATTAACCACTGATGAGTTCATAGCTAAATGGGCTATCAGGAGGTCGATCCTGGTTGCCGGAAGGGGGTCATGGGTTTGTGACTCAGGGACTACACTATATCTGGTCCCTGGTCCCCTTCTTTTTCCAGTCAGCTCTGCTCATGGCCGCCAAGAGTTGACTGGCTTTCTTTTGCCACCCCTTCTGCCATGCTAGAATGTGTCTGTTTTGTAGCCAGCCAACCATGAACTGAAATCTCTCAAACTGTGAGCTAAAATAAACTCTCTTCCCTTGAGCTGTGGGTGTCAGTTAGTTTTGTCTCAGGAATGGGAAAGATGACCAATACAATCATTGACAAGCTTATGTAATGTATTGTCATGGCTACTTTCTCTAGAATAGCCAAAAAGTCTATTTTTGTTTTTTCTCCTTTGCCCTGAAGTATTACTAGGACACCCCAGAAACTGTCACCATCACCAGGATAACACACTTGTCCATTAGCCCAAAGCTTTCCCCATGCTCCTCTGCCATCCATTTCCACCGAAGAAGGCAGACTTTCTCTGATTCACTTGCTGTCACAGTTTTCTAGAAGTGTAAATAACTAGAATCCTATAGTATTATGTATTCTTTTTTTAACAGGATGTTTTTAACTTAGTGTAACTATTTAAGTTACTTTAGTGTAACTATTTTAATATTAATGCATACTGTTGCATGTATCAATAGTTTGGTCCTTTTTATTGCCATGTAATATATCCTTATATAGATGTATCGCAATTTAATTTTCAACTCACTTATTGATGGACATTTGAGTTGATCCAAGTTTTGAGTTTTATGAATAAAATTGTTATGAACAATCACGTATAAACCTTTGGAACTACATATGCTTCTATTTATCTTGATAAAAACTTAGAAATGAAGATCTGGTTATATAGTTTAATGTGTGAAGAACCTTCTGTTGTGTTTTCCAAAGTAATTGTACCATTTCATGGTCCCATCAGCAGGATATAAGAGTTCCAGTTTCTCCCTTATTTTCACTGAGTTTAAGGTTCACTTTTCAGTACACTTGCAATTGTAAATATTTTGTTTTTTCTCAATGAAATACATATGTTTGTTTCATTTCCTGAGAACTGTAATGCTACATGTAATTTTTCTCTGACTCTTTCTGTTTCCTACATCTTTGGTTACTTTGTCTTTTACTTGGATGTTTGCTATGGATTTTGTTTTTCTTTTATTGTGCTACCAGAGGTCAAACCCAGGGGTGTCTTACTACTGAACTATATCTCCAGCCCTTTTATTTTTGATTTTGAGACAGTCTCAAACTTGCAATCCTCCTGCCTCAGCCTCTCAAGTAGCTGGGATTACAGGTGTTCATCACTCCATCTGAATTGCTATTGCTTTTAATAATTATTTATTGTTTTATGTTATGGAGGTAAGGGAACTGTTCTTAACCTCAAGCACTGGACTTGAAGCTCCAAATCCTGACTCCTTCACTACAAGTGCATAATCTCTCAGCCTCTAAGATTTAGTCTTGTGGTCCTCGAGTGTAAAAGGGAGATGATATTCCTTACACAGAAAAATAATGAGGCAGAAAGTGGGATGCAGACAATATATTACATATGAACAAATGAATAATGTGAATCATGTCAAAAGAGAAACTTGTTGGTATACCTCTTGTTTGGGCCAGATAAATATAAATCACTTACCAACTGAAATACGTAAATATTTATTAGATTTGAAAAATTTAGGTTTAAGTGAATGCAAATTTATAGTCTTTTCTGTATATCGAAAATATTAAACAAAATTGCATTTCTTAGCATTATTTATCCAATTTTTAAATGTAGCAGGCAAGCAAGATACTTTTAGAGAAATGGTATTTATAAGCAGAGCCTTTTTTGAACAGAATATCTGGGATTGCTATAGTTGCTCCTTACATATTTAATCTATAAATCTGGATCTAGTCTTTGGCGATCTGTCTTGCTTTAGGATATGAAGAGAACAGTGATGGTGCGATCTGGCCTGCTGTACCAGTGGTTCTCTGGGTTCATGTGGTGCCCGAAAGGAGGCTACTGGCCTATTCTCAGCTGGCCCCTGGCTGTGGATCATGGGGAACAGGAATGTGGCAAAGGAAATGTGGACCATGAACTTGACCACAGGAGGAAGGTGGTATGAGCCAAGTAGGAGACCTGGCTGGTGGTGGTGACAGAGAATCTGAAGGCTTCCTTCTTTCCTAGTGAGCCTTTGTAGGCCCAGAGAATCTTCCCATGATTCACAGGGATGGAGTTCTACAGGCCCACGGGAGTGGCCAACATGTCACCTGAGGGCCCCCTTGGGCACTTCAGCCTCAGCCTGCAGAGCCTACACTCATCTATTCTCTGCCAAACTTGCCTGGTTTGGGGTTCCCTTTCCTGGTGAATGGTCCCATCTCTCCCTCCCCAACCTCAGCTGGAAGCTGGATTTCATTCTTGAGTCCTATCAAAGAACAAGTCATATAGACTCCATCTCCTTAATGTGACTTTAGTCCTTTATGACCATTACCCTTTTCCTTCACCCCAAACTGTCTTGATTTCTTATTGGTTTACTGAGCCTGACTTCATTCTTTCTTCTCTCCAATTCTTTCCATATACTGGAGCCAGAGTGGTATTTCTGAAATGTAAATCTGACGTATCACTTGTATGCTGCTTAAAATCCTTTAATAATTTCCAATTAATTTGAAATCCAAAGGTGGCTTGCAAAAGTCCTTTTTTCCTGCAGTCCTGGGGATTAAATGCAGGGCCTTCACACTGAGCTACATTCCTAGCCCTTTTTATATTTTGAGACAGGGTTTTGCTCAGTTGCTAAATTGTCCAGGGGGCTTGAATTTACAATCCTCCTGTCTTAGTTTCCCAGAATCCTGGGATTACAGGCATGTGCCACCATGCCTGGCTTGTTTCTGTTTTTAAAATCTGGCTTCTGCTTATTTCTTATCTACCTCTCATTCATCATAGCTTATTGTCAACACCACTTCCTCAGGGACCCTCTATTACCAGGTTTTGATTCTCTTCCATGTGGCACTTAAGAGCCCTGCTCTTCCTTTAACAGGATTTTGTGGACTTTCTCTGGGTGGGCTGGCTGTCTGCTCCTGCACTGTAAGTGTACAGGAAGGGACTGTGTGTGTTGTGAGAACCATTCACACCTCCTGTATGCCTCATATGCCTCAATGGCAGTGAAATCAATATCTATTGGTTAAGTGAGAAAATGACAAGGAAGTGACTCAACAGTGAAGTAAGGTTAGGGGTAGGAAACCATAGTTGTTAAGAATGATACAAGTGTTGGTTTGACTCCTAGATACATCATCAGTTCATCAGTGAAGCTAGTTTACTTCATGGATCCTTCAAATTAGAAAAGTGAGAGTAATAATAGCAACTACCCTTGGATGATTACAATGAGGATTACTGAATTAACACCCCCAAAGCACTTGGAATTGGGCATGTCACATAGGAAATAATGGTTTATTATTTAGATGAATAAAATATCTAGAAATTGCACAGAAATTATTAAAGATAAATTTGCCACATTCGTGTCTTTCTATATTCAGGTTCACAACATAAGGAACAACACAGGACTGTTTTTAAAGCTGGCCTGTAATTTCAGCTACTTGTGATGCTGAGGCAGGAGGATCAAAAGTTGAAGGCCAGTGTGGCGAAATTAGCAAGACCTTGTCTCAAAATGAAATAAAAGGACTAGAGATGTAGTTCAATGGTAGAGTTCTTGAGATATGAGGCCTGGGTTTAATCCCTAGTACCACAAGAAAAATAATACTAGTTATGGTTGCATAATTATTAATGACTTAAATAAAACTAATTCCATAATTATTTGCAAGACACTGTAGTAGATCCTGGGGGCTCACAGGCAATGTACTACTCCCCAGATGTAGTTTCTGCCTTGGGGAGCTAGCAGTCTGATGGGGACACAAATGTGATATAAAAGAAGCACAAACCATGTTCCAGTCACAAAAACAGATATGTATTCATTTTAGTTGTCATAAATTCTAACTTAGTAGAGTGGGAATTGGTTTTGTCATCTTGGACAAGTAGATATCTAGTGAAGAATGCCATCTTACATAAGAGTTTCTTGAAAATTTTACTTCATGGGTAACTACTTTGGGAGATGTAATCACACTTCCAGAAAAGGGTGCAGAGTCCCAGCAGTGGCTGGGTTCAGACAGGTTCCCCTATTGGCCATCCCTATGACTGAGGGCAAATCATTGACATCCTTAAGTTTCAGATTCCTCATATGTAAAGTGGGGACAAAAATAACTT